TCGTGAAAATAATTTAATTACCCTTGTTTTGTGTTTAAAAAATTAATAAAGAATGAAGATAGTTGCTTTTTAAAGTGCAAATCCACCGATTTCTAGACTAAATGTATATTTATTTAAAGGAAAAAACTTAATTCTAGCTGAGCCCTTCTGTCTCTATTATTTTAATTTTTTGGAAAGTCTCTGAAATGACAACTAAAAAAATAAAAAAGAAAGAACATATAATTGGGCCATGCCCAATTTGCGAGGTCCATTTAGAGTGTTTTGAGAGCCTCCGGCCCAATTTACGATTCATTTAAGGCCCATAGAAACAAGTTCCTCAAGGATCCGAGCTTAATGGGACGGCCCTTCATTAGCTGCAAATCGGAACTTGACATTTGGTTTAACGACTGATTTAAAGTATTTTTTTATTTAACGATTTTTTTTTTTGTAAATTCTATTTTACATATAATTTATGCTCGAAAAATCAATTCCATTTGATTTAAGCTCAGTATGTGGTTTTTTAAGATAAATTTTCAGCCTGGTTTCGGATTTTAAGTAAACCGGTTTAGAAAATTGAGGGTTTCGGTTGGGTTCAAATTTTCTTGAATTCAATTTTACCTAGAAACTAAATAAAAACAAACCGTTAATTTGTACCCTAATTGTCATTGCCTGCCTCATTTTTACATTCTTCAAATAGGAGGAAGTGATGAGAAACAGGAGTATGTTCAAAATATACTGGGTTAGAATGTTTCATCCACTTGGATAAACTGATCTCTAGGCATGAGTAAATTATACTACTGGTCCCCCAACTATGCGCTAAATTTCAATTGGCTTATCAAATTTTAATTTTTCTCAAGCAGGTCATTTAACTCTATACTGCTTTAAATGTCACACTCACCTCATAAGTGACATAGCCAAGAAAAATTTAAAGTTTGATCATCCAACTGAAATTATCATAATCAAGTGAAATATTAAATTGGTAGAATTTTTTTGGTCTTTACTATAGATATCTTTATTTGTTTTATTATTTAAAATTAATATTTTTCATGGTATGTAACTACTATTCTTTAAAAGTGCAGTTTTGTGAAATCGAAGTTAGTTTATTTTTATGAATAAACAAGTGTTCTACTGTGCATATATATAATCATTAAGTATATTGAATTAATAAAATGATTCAATAGTTTTCTAATTTAATTAGACTATTCATAGTCCTATTCCTATTTGGACAACATTGCTTATGAGGATGCATGTCCATGAGCATACAAGCTCTTTTCCCTTGTTCGCTGTTAAATAATTTTTTGGCTTTTAACCCACACCAACATTAGGAGACCATGGTCATGATAAAAACTTCAATTGGCGGATGAGTCCCGGTCCCTTGAAGTCCTAAGATTGGATCCCACAAGAAGTTGACCCTAGGAGGACCCGAATCTTGGGCGGGGAGTCGGTGCCGGCTCAAGCACAAGGCAGGGGAAGTAATTGTTTTGCATCCCAAAAATTTTAGACTTCAAATTTTAAAATGTTATAATATTTTATTATTATAATAATAATAATTTTAAAATTATAAAAAAATAAAAAAAACTTGTAACAATTAATATTATCTATATTAATTAATAAATTACAATATAATCATTTTTCTCTCTATTTATTTCATTATTAAAATTTTTTATTTTCAAAAAAATATTATTTAATTTAATATTTATTTATCTCATAACTCCTATTATTTTCTTCTAATTAATTATTTCAACTCCCACCTAACATCGTATGTGTGTTTTATTAAATTTTTTTAAAGCTTATCTTCCAATGTTAATATTTTTTTTATAAAATTAAATATTTTAATTTTAAATTTATTATTTTTACTAGTTTCTCATGTCAATAAACACTTCAAATCTATGTTCAGTATCTCTCTTTTCTTATAAGGCAAAAAAAGAAAATACTTATTTTGGTTAAAAAATAAAATTATTATAATATTAAAACATTCTGAAATAATATTTATTATAATTAATTTTTATAATTAAGTTATATTGAATATAACAATTTAATTAGTAATTTTAATTATAATTTCAAAAAATTAAAAGAATAAATTTTCAATAAAAATGTAATATCAATTTTTTAAAAAATAAGAAGTCTCAATTTTAAAATTAGTTTTAGCCCTTAAAATTATTAAACTGGCCCTGACCAGGACCGTTCTCCATGGTTGGGTCACATCGCCAAGTCATCCTGTGTATTCATGCAAGGCTTCCTGTGAGCTGGTAATCAGAGCCACACCCTATGCCCATCTGATGCACTCGTTTTCAGCCACTCAACATTCTGTGGAGGCCCATTTCAGTTTTCCCCAATTAAACTTTGTCCAGAACATTCAGATTTCAAACTGCTTTTGAAGAGGGGAAACAAAAATAAAATAAAAAATAAAAAATAGATGAAACTTTAGTTATTTTCTTTTTTTATAGTCTAAAAAGGCATCTAAAAACCCTAATAGATCCTATTCTACAAATTATATTTTTTAATTTAGTCTATTCAAATGTAACGTTTTAATTACATTTAGATGATTTAAAATTTTATACCGTAAAAGTTATATATACATTTAAATCTAATATGAAAGTTGTTGAAAAAATTTGTAGTAATTCGAGAAAACTTGAAGGCCTAAATTGTTTATACCATAAAATATCTTACATTATCTCAATTTAATGGGAGAGTTCTAAAATTCAACAATCTTATATTACTTAACCAGTTTAATTTATTAAATTATATCTCCAATTTCATCTTATTACCATAATTTAACCAGCTAATTACAAGTGAAATGTTATCCAATTGCAACATCCTCTTGTTTATTGTTTTGTCATAGGGCTGTTGAGGGATCAACATCTCCTATATTATCCAGACAAGAGTCTAATAAAATGCCCAAGTAGTCCCAAATTAGTTTGGAAAAAAATAGTCATCAACTAAAGTTTTTTTCTTATTCCTTCTAGTAGCTATGATTAAGCCAAATATGTGCAGTTGACACTCAATATTTAGTTAACAATTTCAAAAACATCATCTCTAATTGTCAAACAGATAACCAATAAAAGATGAATTACTTAACCAAGTTAGAGGCAAAGAAATAGCCAATTAACAGGAGAAAAATTTTCCATTCTGTCACAAGTCAATTAACTCGAAGGTACTGACATTCCTCAATTATGTTTCGAGTATTTCTGGAATAGAAGATTGAATTAGATATCGTTATTTATCCATTATAATCACCTGTAATTTAGGTATATCCCAAATTAACGTGCTCCTAAACTTGAAAAGACTTGTTCTTTGACTTAAAGCAAACATCAGAGTTAGGTAACCAGACGGTGAACCATCTTAAGGTATCAACTTTCTTCATTTTAATGAAGACTACTTTTTCACACGTTGCCTTACCATTGGATGGAAAGAGGAAACATGGAATGGAAAAGTTGGCTTCTGGCTTGTACATCTCTTCCTCCTGACAAAGCCATCCAATGGAAATAGATAACAATTTCCAAATTTGGATTTGCTTAACAAATTTGACGGCCAGAATGGGTACTTACCAGATCAGAGCAGGCAATGAAAGAGTCTAGAGGCTGTTCTGTTTCCATCAAACTTGCATATATTCAATGGCATATGGGTCCTTCTCGTTATCATAATGTGGTGTGTGACTAAAAACAATGTGGGTCAGTAATTAGCTGATGATAAAATGAAAATTTGTTAAGATAATAGGATCATTATCTTCAGCAGTATGTGCATTGTTGAGCTGGCAAGAGATGAGAACAGAGCAAACCCCATCGATTTAACTCAAACATCAATCATTTAGCGCATACGTTCATAGCCTATATGTGCAGAAGTGAAGGATGGAGTCCTATCTTTGAGGGTTCCACCAAGCACCATGTGTTATAAAAGGTCATATCAACAAGTATTCAATCGTGATCACTTTTGTCCAGCAAGATGATGGGAGATCTCAAGCAGCAACCAATTCCCAAATTCCTATAAGAAAAACAAAAGGATGAAAATAAAAGCAGGAGAAAAAATAAAGCATATATTCTCCCCCCCCCCCCCCCCCCCCCCTTCTTCACCCGGTTGATATATGGAGGTTCTCAATGGTTTCTCAACAAAACTCAGAGAACAGAGAATTGAAACAGAATCACATGAAATGGTCTCTGTATGCTAGTTTTGCCGTGGGCTCCATCAGATACAACAGCTGCTGCTAGCGGCCCTGCCCCTAGCATCAAATCTACCATTCTAAACATTTAGATAATTCAAGATTGATGACATTTATCTACCAATTACTTTTAGCGACCAATTGTTCATCAAGAGGAGGCAGTTACTCCAATATTTATCTCCACAAAATGCGCCCCTCAATCCTTAAGAGGATAGAATACGGTGATTCTCTGCCACTATTTTGTGCCACCACACCATGATGAAGACAGTCATCTCTAGTCAGAAAACGATAAGAACAAAAAGGAAAAAAGACAATGACCACCTTTTGTAACTCTTTTCCTATATCTCCTCTTAGGTTAAAATTCTGTCTGAAACTACCACTTTCTATTTCACTGCAAGAATGTGCTTTTGAATTGAATTTCAATGAGGGCAAACTACCAGAAAGGTGGCAGTGCATGGGAGTAAATGCAGCTTAGGGCCCATTATTTAAGGACCCATGTCCTCCAAGTTGGAGATGTTTCAAATGCATGCGCTAACAATTTCTTCCAAAAAAATTTATATCCACTCATTCGATAATTAAGGGAAGCGGAAATATGTGCCCTCTCGGATAGGACACTGAAAAACCAAGAAAAGCCACATGATGGATAGGCACCGTCAGATGTAAACAGTGGTAGTAGCAGTCGACCAATGGGTGCTTGAAAGCTCTATAAGGATTGTTAAGGACAAAAATGACCACGTGAGACTGGGCCAATGATCCATGATCAGATGGCCTCAATTTTGGAAGAGAGATGTGCACAAATGAAAGCCATGTAACCTACCCCAAATAATCAGGAAAGTCAATTCTCAAAATTGTACATGAAGTAGATGATGGGAAAGGTCAGAATAGGATAAAACAATCAGGGGGTGAGGACAGAGCTCTTGGTGTTGGCTTCAAGATGGTGTATTTCTACCACTATATGATGATTGACACGGGGGTTGAAAGTGGTGTTGTGGTGTATGCGCATGTCCAAAGGCAAAGGGTTTTTGGCTTTTCCTCAAGACCAGCACGCCAAACAATTTAATTTGCAAGTGATTTGGTAATATATCTAATCATATATATCAGCAAATGCAGTATGTTGACAGTAGGCAATGAACTAATACCAGGCTAGATAATATTTTATATATTAGAACATGTCGCCACCTTCCGGCCATGTCGGACTACAAGCAAATAATTTTCTTAGCCGATGCGATTTAAATAATAGGACATGGGAGATCACTTTTCCGATCACCCTCGGGTAAGCCTCAACGGCACATCTAAGCAAGAAGAGAAAAGGAGGAAAAAGAAAAGAATAAAAAAAACAATTAAAGTTGGGGAGGAAATTTGATTATTTGATCCCTAATTCATTTGGTTTTCTTAAAATTCAAATTACTGTTTAAACAGGTGACTCTCTCTCTCTCTCTCTCTCTCTCTCATATGAACAATAGTGGGGCACATACAGACACACATGTATATATAACAAGGATGCCAACAGGATTAAGCAACCTAGTGCGGGTTAAAAGGTCAGTGGGAATTTGTGGTCGTTTTCCTCTCCTCTAGACCTTTCCTCCAGGTTTGAGCTTCCTATCTTCTCAGTATATAAATAAGACTCCTCTCGCACCTCGTCATCGACTCAAAGTTTCTGCTCAAGCCTCCTTTAGACAGGGGTCCAGCACATCTTTGGAAAGAAAATGGTCCAACTTCCATTTGCAGTCCTTTCAGTTTCATATTCTGTTTAGTTCAACTTCTTCCGAGTATATAAACCATTCTTCTAACTTCTTTAATGTTATTCTGTAGGCTGAGGTGCATCAGTTCAACACATGGGAAGGCTATGTAGATTGGAGGAACAGGCCAGCTCTGAAAGGCCGTCACGGTGGTATGCTGGCTGCCTCCTATGTCCTCGGTCAGTAAGGCACAGTTCATTATTTTTCTTCAACAACAGCGTGTGAACTTTGTTCCTAACAACTTTTTTCTGAAGCATATGTTTAGCAACTTATTAATTATTTTAAATGTTCCCACTAAGCAAATAGATAGTCTCTCTCTCCCTCCCTCCCCCCTTTCTCTCTATTTCTTTCTTGCTGATTATATTGCATGCCACCAGTGGCAGAAGTACTAGAGAACCTAGCATACCTGGCCAATGCAAGCAATCTCGTCCTCTACCTCTCGAAGATCATGCATTTTTCTCCGGCCAATTCTGCCAATATCGTTACCGAGTTTATGGGCACGGCGTTCCTCCTGGCTCTTCTTGGAGGTTTCTTAGCTGACGCATTCCTCTCCACTTACGCCATCTATCTGATAAGTGCTACAATAGAATTCGTGGTAAGAATCTCTACGAAGATAAGCTTTTCATTCACGTTTGATTCAGAAGACAATTCTTTTCTGGCCAATAAATAGAATAAACTGTTTCTACTTGACGTGATATATCTGGCTGCTTCTAGTAAAGGCCGCTGAGGCTTCCGTCACGGCTTAACGCCACATAAAATATTCTACGGTGTTCCAAAATGAGAACATGAAGATGGAAAGTCGTTCCTTCAGATAGCAAGTTGGACCTTAGTCACTAACAAATTGAACAAGTTGGCAGTCTCAGATAGCAAAGTCGCCTGACTTCAAGTTGAGTAAGGAAGAGCCAAGTAGAGGTCGTCCTGTCCATTTTCAGGATACCGAGTAATGCAGGACCCACGTATTACTAGGGGTAGTTATAGCATCACCGTAAAAGTAAGAAGAACAAAGTAACTGACTTTCAGGCCTATTTGTCCGACCAAGAGTTGCAGCAGTATGCATTTTCGTACCTGACAACCTTCCAGATATAGCAGAACATCTGATAAACAGTTATAAACGAATAAAGGCTATTAAATATCGAAGATCTCTTTACTTTTCTATGAGCCCGAGGTCTGCCTTTTTTTCTGGACTGGACCTGCGGAGTGTGTATGTATTGTTAATTAATACATCCCGTGAAGTAGGAACTCTTAATATATTTGTATAAAGGGTATCCTTTAATTGATTAGGGAGCCCAATCTTATGGACCAATGCCTTATAAGAGACTCAATTTTACTAACTGGTCAGTATAAATACTAGTTTCCCTAAAATTTCACCTAATTTCAACTTGTCAATTTTAATTTAGAAAGAATTTGATTCTAGTCATAATAAGAGTATAGGCACACTTCTCAAGAACTTGTATTTAATAATATCATAAATATACTTGAAATTGAATTCAAGTTAAATGTTCATAAACCCTAAGTCACAAACTATCTTTAAACCTTTCTAAACTCCCACATTAAGTAGTAGAGGCATTTTTATAACCAAAGAATTTAGAGAAACCTCTAATTCAAGAACCATCTTGATTTCTAGTAACACATCCATATCCCGCTTCATGAAGTAAACGTATTTTGAAGTATAAAATAAAGCACGAGCTATATTATATATTTGGTAGTGTAAAATCTTCTAAACCCTTCCTGATTAATAAGAAATTAATGTCGTAACAAGTTCAAGTCGACAGAGAGTTAGAAACAACTCCTCTATTTTTCTGTCCTTGTAATTGTTAGAAAACCTAGTAATTACTAATGTACAGAAGTCTTAATAATACTCCAAAAGGACCAATTTAGTTTGTCAAAAGAGCAGCAAACTAATGGTCCATTCTAGAATGCTTAGAAGTCCATGTTTTCCTGATGCTTTTCAGAGCTAACCTGGGATAAAAACTTGAACTGGGAATTTATTTCTTTCTCCCTCAAAAAAAAAAAAAAAAGAAAAAAAAATCAATAGGGAGATTTAGAAGTCTACCAAATCCGAGGATCAAACAGTCTATTGTAACCAAAGAGAACAAGTCGAGCATACCCAGTTACAAATTCATTAGAGAATCTGAAAGACTGGACTGAGAATTGAATATAAAACTGTTCGGTGACCTTAGTAGTTTATTAATTAGTTGAAGTTGCCAAACTACTCTAACAGGTCTCTGCCGTCCCCTTTAATCTATTTATTACAATAATACCTGATGACAATGAGCGTGAATGAACTGATTGTATTACTGATACAGGGACTGCTCGTACTAACGGTGCAAGCTTGCATGCACTCTCTGACACCTCCAGTCTGTGCATCAACCAATAGGAATTCTCCATGCAAGGAAGTTGATGGGGGAAAAGCTGCATTACTGTTTTCAGGCCTTTATGTAGTGGCACTGGGTGTAGGTGGGATAAAAGGTTCCCTCCCCTCACATGGAGCTGAGCAGTTTGACGAAAGCACGCCAAAGGGAAGGAAACAGAGGTCAACTTTCTTCAATTACTATGTGTTCTGCCTTTCCTGCGGGGCTTTATTTGCCGTGACATTTGTGGTGTGGATAGAAGACAACATAGGATGGCAATGGGGTTTTGGAATCTCCACTGCAACAATATTGATCTCTATCCCAATCTTCCTCTTGGGATCGCCTATTTACAGGACAAAACTTCCAACAGGAAGCCCTATTACAACAATACTCAAGGTAGTATCACCAAAATCTTTCTTACAAATTGATGCCTAGCCAAATAGCTGAGAACAAAATATCCCCTTTTCTCTTTTACACCAGGTTTTGGCTGCAGCAGTTTTCAACACTAGCATGTACAAAAAATCACACAACACTGTTGTAAGCATGAATACGAGCGCGTCATCCTCAGCTGATATCCAGGAATTCGACCATTCCATAGAAAATGCACCAATTCAGACTGCATCCGAAGGCCTAAAGTTCCTTGACAGAGCAGTGGGCAAGCCTGTACATCCAGCGCTAGCATGCACAGTTAAACAAGTCAAAGAAGTGAAGATAGTTATAAAGATTCTCCCCATCTTCATGTCTACCATTATACTCAACTGCTGCCTTGCTCAGCTCTCTACGTTTTCTGTCCAACAAGCAGCAACCATGAACACAAAGGTTGGATCTTTAATGGTCCCTCCGGCTTCTCTGCCCGTGTTTCCTGTTGTCTTCACCATTGTTCTTGCACCAGTCTATAACCATATCATAGTCCCAATTTCTAGGAAGATAACCAGAACTGAAACGGGTATCACTCATTTACAAAGAATCGGAACAGGACTGGTTCTTTCTATTGTGGCCATGGCTGTTGCCGCTTTGGTAGAAATAAAGCGGAAACAGGTAGCAGTCCAATCTGGTCTGATGAACTCCACTGAAACTCTTCCCATTACATTCCTGTGGATTGCTTTGCAATACTTGTTCCTGGGATCCGCCGATCTTTTCAGCTTGGCTGGCATGATGGAGTTCTTCTTCACAGAGGCCCCCTTCAGCATGAGATCCCTGGCCACAGCACTTTCCTGGGCGTCATTGGCAATGGGTTATTACCTTAGCTCAGTTCTCGTGTCCATAGTCAACAAAATCACTGGTACATTCCGACACACACCATGGCTTTCTGGCAGCAACTTAAATCATTATCACCTCGAAAGGTTTTACTGGTTAATGTGCACATTGAGTGGACTGAATTTTCTGCATTACCTCCTTTGGGCAAGGCATTACAAGTACAGATCAATAGGGCCTGACAATCAGAAAGAAATTCAAACAGGGAGTAGTTCCACAGAGGTCTAGTTGGCCCTTGCATGCATTCTATTTCATCTCAATAATCCATCAGTGAGAGAGAGAGAGAGAGAGAGAGAGTTGTTAGATTAAAGATACTTGTGTGGTAGCCAATTACTAGTTCCACGGTTCCAATGCTATGATTCTTGGAAGTTATCTCCCATAACGTTAATGAATTTGTACGAGCACTGATTATTTAGTAGAACGGGCCATATAATGTAAGGATTTAAGTTATTTATTTATGCTCCACTCTTCCAAGACAATTAGCTCAACCTTCGAAACCTTCAACCTATCGAATTCCGGAGCTACTACATAGCAGGCAAACTCACATCACAACTTCTTCTCTAAACAAGAATCGAAAGAAAAACTGATGTCAGAGTTTTCCATTGTTTGGCCAAGTGCATGAGATCGCACCATGATAATTGGATTGTCTTAGACTTATAGCTTTAGAAGCGTGAGATATTCTCGGTATCAAACAAACCAATGGGAGCTTCACATACCCATGAAATATGACGACTTTCAAAGTGAAAATGAAATAGATAAAAAATTTCATTTCCAGTAAAAGAATTTAATATTAACGAAGATAAGTCATTTTAAAAAAGCGCAATCCCTGACGCAAGCACAATTTTATTATGTCAAGTGCCAACTTCTGAATGTTAGAAAGGTGTCAGCATCTCCAAGTCCAACACAGGCAGCAGCCCGTCGCACAACCATATGTATATATGACGACTTTCACTGATTTCCAAGACCTCAAATGTGATAATAACACTGACATCAACAGATTTTAAAATTAAGAAGAAATAAGAACTAATGAGGACCAGATCATTAGAAAACAACAACATAGATTGAACGACCAATCGCTGAGGCTGAGGATTGTATCGTCACTTCAGCAACAGGAACGACAGTAACGCATATATTCAGAAGAGTTAAGAGCAACAATCAAGCATTAAAAATGAAGTTGCCATACAGGAAAGTCCTATTCGTAGTGCTCGAAAAAATCAGAGTCAAATAGCGACATTGTTGGGATATTTTTGGGTGGAAGAAAGAAGTGAAGAGATTTTTGGTAGAGAGATGTAGTAAGTTTCCACTGCAGAATTTTTTTATTATTATAAAACTTCTAGAATATAGATATTATAACTCTGTAAATTTCAAACACATAAAAATATAAAGAGATTTATTGACTGATCAAAAGCACATAAAATTATGAAAAGGTCTATTGGTGAACCAAAACAGTTAGTGTCATGATTTATTTTTCTAAGATTTTACTTAAGAAAAATACAAATTATATTTCCAGCAAATATAACTGTAGCATCGTCACGATCATTGTCAAGATCGTGATGGAAGGAGGCAACTAGGAAGAAAAAGTTACGTATACACGCTACACATTTTGTTCAGCATAAAAAATGAATCAACTTCCTCTCCGAAGGAAAATATAAATCAAAATCAGAACGAACTGCCAAAAGTTCGTATTCATGCAAGTTTATATTTACATATATCCACACACAGACATCTGTACAGCGAGAGATCTGAAGAACAGAAGAAAGAACGTTCAGATCATAACTAGCGAGTTGCACTGTAAAAACAAGGCAGTGAGTTTGAGTGTGGAATTTAAAATTAAACTATTTGAATTATTATGTACGTCTAGCGGGCCACCGGGATGCAGTTCATATGGTGGAGTGCTCGTTTAGCATGCGAGACGGGATGATACCCTGCATCTCCATTTTTCTTTGCTTTTCCCTCCATATTTGAGAAATCAAACTTTTAGTTGCTTTTATCTTGTAATTCCGAATGTTTTTGAAATTGAAACAGAGCTTGAAGATTCATGGTTTGAAAGATAATTTGAGAAAATAAGAACTTATTTTTTATATGTTTTTAGGGTATATTTCTAAAATTATGTCCTTTGGTATATTATTTTTGAAGAATATATGTGAAAAATTGAACAATAGCAGCTTATATAAAAAATAGAAGAAATTAAGAAACTAATGTAGGGCTTAAGTCACAAAATTAAAAGTAAAGGATTAAAGTGAAAAAGGATTAAAAACCAAGGACTATTACAATAATACGCTGTATTCATTTTCTTCCTTTAGCGGTCGCGGGTCATCTGTACAGTGCTGATTAAGCTGGAAGACACGCGCTAAGCTTAATCTAGGTTTTCATGGACCTCAATCAATCCAACATTCCCTGTTCATCTACTTCCTACAGCAACCCTGTCCATTTTCAAGTTTAGGTTCATGTTCAGAGCAAAAAACTGACCCAGATTGGACCATCAAAAAAGGGATTGAATCAAACTGTCTAATATGGGTCCAGTTAGGTCCTGGATTGGCTTTCTTTGTAGTCCAATTAAGATTTATAAGTTTTGGAATCAAAATTAGAACCGAAATTGCCACAGAACCAAAGGACAATAGTTATAATTGAAAAGAAACTGGTATGTGTACGGTTATGACTCTTCTTTTTCCTTTCTTCCCTTCCTTCAATCTCTCATTCTTTTCCATTTTTGCAAAACTCTCTTTCTTCCCTCGCTTTATATTGGCTGGTCCAAAAACCTCTCTCTCTCCCTTTCTCTCCTCCTTCGTGAAGGAGATTATCGATCTTCTTCCCGAAAGCTCCTCTTTTAAGGAGATCAGAGATTAGCTCCTTATTTTTCAATCTCTGTTCGCATACCCCTACTCGGCTTTTCAGTTTCTTTTATTTGCTTCTTCGACTATTGAAGTTGAGGAAAAAACTGTCCCACTAATCTTATAACTTCTTCCTTCCTCTCGCCCTACATGTACCATCTACAATCTTGCCAGTTCTTTGCCTTGATGGGTGGTGAGCAGCCCGGAAGCAGCCCAAATATTCGGCGTCCTTTGCAAGGGAGATTTGTCCATTTTTTTGACTAAACTCAAACAAGACCGGACTTGGGAGCCCATGCCCAAAACTATGAAGGCCCTAAACAGGGAACCAGCCCAAGACCAAGACCAAGGTCAAATTGACCTTCACGGTCTTGGTCTTGATTCATGAAAGAGTCGATGGTTCTCAGCTGCACAGTGGAAGCTTTCCCTGCCAGCCCTTGCAGGGAGATGAGAAGAGATGCCTACAACTTTGGCCCAAGATTTACAGTAATCTACCTAAACTTTGTGAGTCAATGGGCGAGAATAATCAACTAAACAGCTGGGTAACTGTGAAGCAGTTAATGCTTAATCTATTAAACAGAAGAATTGAAGGGTGATTAAGCTGTGCAGTCCTATATACGTCGGACCCACCTAGGCTGCCTGCATAAAATTGAAGTGTGCTCTACCAGCTTTGTCAGTTGAGCAAATATTCGATTTCCTAGAATACATGTTTTGGAGTAATTTCAAAAATACAAGTAACACGACAAAATTTACAAGATTTAGATTCAAAAATAAAAGTTTTAACTCTGAAATTGTAAAAGAATAGTGTCTTAATTTGTGTACCTATCGTTTTTCAAATTTTTTCCATTAGTAGTCAATTTGGGGTGGGGGGGGGGGGGTGACCAAACTCGTCATCAAACAAATACTTCAATATTATCGAAAAGTGTTTGCAAATATTATGATGTGATAATTTAAATGTGTTTCGTGTTGTTATACGTCAAAAACAACATAATATAACCCATTGAAATACTAAATTTCTAATTTTCTTATATTATTTTCCTTTCTAACTATACAAACCTATTAAGAAATATAATATTATAAAATCAAATAGAAAAAAATATAATAAATACGATTTACCTTAGGTCGTTTTAGTTTACAATTGATAGTGCGCTACGTTAGCCGCAAAATGCTATGTGGAGTGACATCTTCCTCCTCCATTGCATTGTGGCTGAGCATTCTTGCCAAGGCAATTGGATCAGTTCTCTCCTAGTTCTAGTAGTATGCTATATTTGGCGATAAAGTTGTCCTGTTTAGTTTAGGTTCATACATTGGAAGACGATACAGAGTGGATTTTCCTGGGAGCCAAACAAAATTTGCAAAGAAAAATCTCCTCCATATTATAATTTACACCCCTACTTGTACAATATACAACCATAATATTGCGCACATAAACCATTAGCAAGAAACACCGAAAAGGAAAACAAAGGACACTCAATCCGCCTCCTGCAACCCACCCAAAACAACGGACCCGACTAGCAACCCTGCTGCCCCGACTCCGAAAGCAGCCGCAATCACCGCCTGGACCGCCACCAAACCGGCAGAGTCGTCCGGAATCAGAACTATTGCCAAAATCGCCGCCACGAGGGCGGGGAGCGCTGCTGAGGCGAGCGCCGATGGCGAGAAGCTGGCGGCCTTCTCGAGCAGGCTGAGCAGGCCTAGCTCCTCGGCTTTGGAGAACACACCCAGCTTCTCTATCGATGACAGAGTAAGACCTAGTTCCTCTGCTTTGGATAGGAGCCCGGCTTTTTCAACGTTGCTTAGAACTTTTTTCTCCTCCAGCTTCTTGAACACGTCTACCTCGAAATCCTCGCTTCCCTCGTAGAATATTCCGGCGCCGAACCACTTCTTCTCCCAATTCTCGTCGTACTTGTTCACCTGCCAATAGTTTTCCAAGAAAATTCAGGAATGTAAATAAGCAGGGATGACGTCATGATCCTGACATGAAAAAGACACCAATTTACCTTGAGAAATATGAATATGACAGATATTTGAATTTTGACAAGAATTTAACCCATTCACTTCATTCCAACGCGAACAAATTTATTTATGATTTTTAGAACAATTCTGAGATGTATTAATATGAATAAGAATTTGACAGAATTATAACATGAACAATTGATCAGGATTCAGAAGCATGAATACCAAGTGGAAATAAATAGTTGGAACATTGCCGGTTTGGATGCTTAAGAAAATGTTTGATGACAAAATTATTGAAAACAACTGCACAATAAATATAGTCTCCTACATTTTTTTTTCAGAAATACAAACCAAAAATTTCCAAATTCCAAGTCGGATTCATATGCTTTAATGAACATTCTTAACTCCTAATAACAAGTTGGCAAGTTTTCATTGTTAAACCCGTTATTACCAAAAAGGGGCTATGCGGACTTGAATTTCCTCCGTTTTGTTGAAGACCAAACAGATATTAATAATGTGATGCTCATGCTCCCGAGTTCTGCAATAGTCCACAGTTCCACAACATAAATGAATGCATGCTTACTAATAAATCGCTTGGTTTGCGAGAAAATTCATGAATATAACTACAGGAGGTAATGAATGCATATCCCGTCACCCCGTTTGACCATAGTATAGAGTTCAGATGAATGGAAATTTATGGTTTCGGTCTTTATTTCACCTGGTTCCTTAATTCAACAATATTTAAAATTAATCTTCCTTTATTTTCTTTTCTTTTTGCCAGTTCACTCAGCAACAAAAAGAGATATGCTTTCCCAGGTCTTTTTGTCCCAGATAAGTCAAAATTTGACAAGAGTTTCCATTATAATAAAAAAATCCACTTTTTAAGAATACAAAGGGAATGCATTTTCTACTGTAATTAACGTTGGTCGGAATAGTTCGAGGAATCTTCTTCAGTTTGAATTTATACTGTAATTAACATCAGTTTGAATTTTATCCAAAAGGAATATGTTACCTTCTTTTTAGGTGCCATGGCGAGGAACCTTGGTGTTCCTTCGGTGGGAAAGAAGCCCCGAAATCGAGACTTGGCGCGAAGGAAACTTTGCTCGGCATTGCGAACAAGAAATGAAGTTGGCGAAGCCGTTGTTGCCACCGCCATTAACGAGTGAATCTGAAGCGTTTCCCTGCAAATTTTCTTGCTGAATTTTCTAGGTATCCAAGCAGCCTTCTTTGGCGTAATCTTCCGGTCGATAACGTCGACCAATCAAAAGAGCGATAGCCCTATCCGCGCAACTACACGTTATCATTAGGCTATCAAAGTGTCAACCATACGGGCTGAGCCCAGCCCAGGTGCGGCCCAGAAACACAAAAGGATGCAGTCAGGCTTTAGCTAATTTCTAATTTGGCCCATTAATTTATTTGTTAAATAATTATTTTAGCTTAATAATCTCAATTTAAAATGAGAGTTTGCAGCTTTCTTAATTATTATAATTGATAAAAAATTTGAAAATAAAATAATCCTCAGTCGACTCATTGGAAGAGCAAATCGAAATTTTATCTTTACTTAATTTTCATTAGTTTGGGAATTTGCTTTCTTGTTATTTATTACAACATTAAACACATAAATAATACAAATAAAAAATTCATGAGATATTGCTAATTTTTGTGCTGACCTAGGTTTGTGGGTGTTTTTTAAAATTTTTTGTTTATTCTTTATTGATCAAGGAATCCGGTCCAGGGAGGTAACGTCATGGGTGGATTGTTCAAATTATTGAAACACCAAACACTGTCTTACTATGAACAGAAGATTTTGTGAATGTCAATGTGTTCAGCTGTCTCTATTGCGGGCAGGTTGTATTTTTAAGGAGTTATTTTATTATATTCAACTCTATGTATTCATAGAGTAATTTAAATGTTTGAAAATGACTTTATCAAAATGTCTTTTCGGTTCATAGAAAAGTTCCATTTATAATTTTTTAAATTCATAATTTTATAAAACGGGTTAAAATGGCTTTATTAAAATGCCTTTTTTACTTCATAAAAAGTCTTATTTTTCATAGTTTTTTGACCACACAATTTAATATAAAATAATAAAAATGGGTTCACAAAAAAGTCTGATTTTTGATAGAATTTTTTTTAACTACATAATTGTTTTTAAAAAGGTAATTTTTTAACAAAGCAAATATCCCTTATTAGGTTTTGCTGAATATTTGATTAACCCTTAAATATATAGGCATTTTGATAATTCTATCTGAATAATCCAAATTTAGTAAAGTATAAAAATAAAATTTAATTATTAGTAATTGAAGTGGTAATAAGTTTTTTTTTTTTTTTTGAAACGGCATTTTTTAAAGGCTAATAGGAAAATTCTCTCTCTACACTGTACTACCAGGTTGCTTCCTCAAAGTCTCCAAGGGAAAGAATCCAAATTCTTCGTTCTGCACTAAAAAACAAGAAGGAAAATTCTATGTCGGATAAGCGTTGCATTTGTGTTCTACGTGGAGTCCATGGATGTTGTAGCCAAAGGATATAATTTTTTTAAATTATCAAACAAAAACATTTTTTTCTTTTTTTGAAAAAGGGTCTTAATGTGCTAAATTAGAAAAATTTATAAATATTTAATTGATGCCAGAGTGCCTGCAGCCCTGCCCGTCTGAGTCGCCAATTCCATCTCATTCGGCTCTTCTCTGAATTGATCGAATTGAAAGAATATTTTATTCTTCAATTGGGTATAGTCTTGCTGTCAGCTCTTCGGTTGTTCAGTCTTCCTTGCATCATAGCAAATACTCTGTTTTGTTCTGAATTTCTCAAACCCACTTTCCTAGGCGCGCCCATGGATGCAAACTCTCTCTTGATCTTGCTACTTTTTGCTTGAACTGTAATTCTTTCTCTCTTTCTCTGTAATATAATGGTGTTGTTTTGGTGGGTAGATGTTAAGGGTGGTAGGTTTCCTTCCCTGAACTTGGTACGTGAGACAATACTGGTGAAAGTGAGTTCTGTTCCTTCTGGGTTGAAAATTCTTTGAGGCTTTTCGAAACCTCTGTTTTTTCTTGGAGGCTCAAATTTGACTTCGGCATGTTTAGTTGTTACTGGAAATCTTTTCTTTTTTCTTTTCTTTTCTTTTCTTGTTGAGCTTTTCTGGTTTCTCTTTTATGTTTCTTTTGAAAGTGGTAGTATGTTTTGGAAATCTAGATTCTGGCGTAAATGCATCAGGTTTTTTTCTGTTTCGAGTATGGAGAGGTGTTTGGTACGGCCACATCAGAGTCCAGGGATTTTTAACTTTTGGAAGAAAAAAAAGCTCAGGGATTAAAATTATGGAATCCCTAAAGCTCCATTTTTAGCTTCTTCAAAATTCTCGGACCGTTACAAACGAAGCCTTCAAGCCTCAAAGAATTTTTTTTGTGCCGAACATTCTGAAAAGGCCTATAATTCCAGGGATTAAAATGCCAAGATCCCTGGGATTTTTGACTCCTGAACACTTCAAAGAATGTTTAGGGTATTTGACTTTGTATAATTTAGATCCGATGCTTTTGAATATGTCCTTGGAGCATCATTATGTGTAAAATTTGATCTGGCTGACGTTTCTTTGAACCACATGAAGTTGTACACATCTTATGCCTCAGTTTTTTGAGAACTGATTTGGCTTTATGGACTCATCCAAGAAACTATATGCAATAAACATTTTGGTCCTTGTGGATTGATGCTGCAACAAAATTATATCTCATGTCACTGGAAGAAAATTGACTTACTGCGAGGTCAAATTATCCTAGTCTTATAATATGACAAAGTCCTGAGTTTGTGGGATAGATTTCTGGAATTCTCCAGCCAAATGTTCTGATGATATGACCAATCTCTTGTTTTAATGCTTTCTGCAGAAGTCATGGGTAACTTGTTCTGTTGTATACAAGTTGAACAATCCACAGTTGCTATAAAGGAAAACTTTGGGAGATTTGAAGAAGTACTTGAGCCAGGTTGCCACTGCCTACCCTGGTTCCTTGGAAGTCAGTTGGCTGGGCATCTCTCCCTTCGGCTGCAGCAGCTTGATGTTCGTTGCGAGACCAAGACAAAGGTCCTTCTTCTTGCCTAACCTTGAACTTGATATGCTTGAACTTGTAGTCTGTCTTCGGTTTTTATTTTCTCTTTGCATTTCCAATGTTTTCTGAAAACAAAAAACACTCGAATTCTTGAAAATTATTTTGTTTTGGTATCATTTTCATTTTTGAGCAAAAATAATTCACAAGAGTTCAGAAAACAACTTTTTATTGTTCTCTAAAACAGGGCATGTTTTCCAAAAGTTCTTTCACAACAGTTTTTGAATGTAACCTTGCAAACAGGTTTGTTGTTCCATTTTCAACAACTAATCCTAAGATTTCTTATAAATGAAGTGTTGAATTCATAATATTGTTTCTCCTTTTTTTGGGTGCAAAATTTTAAGACTAACAGCTAATGATGTTGCTAAATCTCATATATCATGTTTGGGTCCGGCCTGTTATCTTGTTCCAGATTTTTCTACTGATAATTTCAATGGGTAATGGTTTTGTTGAAGGTGTTTCTTAGAGGTCCAATTGACTTAGTAAATGTGCCAACGCTACTAAAATAATCAGCTCTTTTTTTTTTTGGGTAATTTCTTTACAGGACAACGTATTTGTTAATGTTGTCGCATCCATTCAATATCGTGCTCTTGGGGATAAGGCAAGTGACGCATTCTACAAACTCAGCAACACAAGAAGCCAAATTCAGGCTTATGTTTTTGATGGTATGCAACTATATATATATATATATATATACACACACACGCACGCACGTATGTATATTAAATGAATATGCGTCTAATGTTCTTAATTAATATTTTAGAATTGCATGAGTTAACTTCTCTATCTATATAGTAATTAGAGCAAGTGTTCCAAGGCTCAACCTGGATGATGCTTTTGAGCAGAAAAATGATATTGCAAAAGCTGTTGAAGATGAACTTGAGAAGGTAATGCGCTTAGGTGTAAAAGTGAACTATTGTTGCCAAGCTATATACCAACTTGGTGGTAACTCTGCATTTACAATTGGTAGCAGGCAATGTCCGGTTATGGTTATGAGATTGTACAGACATTGATTGTTGATATAGAACCAGATGAACATGTCAAACGGGCAATGAATGAAATCAATGCTGGTAAATGCTAACCCTCTTAATTTTTCTGAGTAGGAAGTCAGGACATGATTGGATTTCTGTTTCTGAGAATAGTTTTATGGTTTTGGAAACAGAAAACATGCCTGGGAAGTTGTTTTCTGAAAACTGTTTTCAGGAGAATTTTCAGAACAGGGCCATTTCTAGAAAACAACTTTTGAGTTCTCCAAAGCCCTTTTCGCCCAAAAAAAAAAAATACTGAAAATGTTATTAAAGCAACAGAGTTTTCAAGATTTTCAGGTTTTCTGTTTCTGAAAACACGACAGAGGATCTAAGAATGGAAAATAGAAAATGGAATATTCTGTTTACCACCAGCTATCCCATGAAAAGGTGATGCCATTCTTGAGCAGCTGGGCCTTAACCATCTTCAATGTTTAAATGAAATCTCCAGCTGCAAGGCTGAGGGTGGCGGCTAATGAGAAGGCAGAGGCCGAGAAAATTCTGCAAATTAAGCGAGCCGAAGGTGAGGCTGAGGCGAAGTACCTGTCGGGCTTGGGAATTGCTCGCCAACGACAAGCAATCGTTGATGGGTTAAGAGACAGTGTGCTGGGCTTCTCTGTCAGTGTGCCTGGAACTACTGCAAAGGACGTTATGGACATGGTCCTTGTCACTCAATACTTTGACACCATGAAGGAGATTGGCGCTGCCTCCAAATCCTCTGCTGTGTTCATACCTCACGGGCCTGGCGCTGTGAGCGATGTGGCCACTCAGATCCGCAATGGACTTCTTCAGGCATCGCAGCTTTGATTTTCTTAGTCGAACTTCTGAAAATCTTTCCAAAACGTTGGAACAAAAAGATGTTTATAGTTCTAGTTCTAGGACCTGTTCTAGTTTTGGTTAAGGAAGTGAGTGTGCTTTCCACAACTTTTGCTGTTTGTAAGATTTCACAGTTCATATACCGAAGTGCTAGAAGTGCAGAGGTTTTTTAAAATATATGCAACGTAAGGGGAAATTCTCGAGATTCAAAATTCATCTTTATTTATTTATGAAATAGACTATATATATCTATATAATTTAACTCTCACATTAAAATATGGTGATGTAAACTTATGTCATGTAGATCACGCACATGTGCACGCGTGCATGACATGGGCGCACTTGGCACTTTTAGGGCATGTGTGCGTTGGCAATTGAATATCTTTTTATTTAATTTTCTTTTATTTTTGTTATTTATCACTGCAATTGCTTACAATTTTGTTAATTTCCAGAAATTTAGAAATTTCTCATTGTTATAAATATGCCAAGATAGATTTGTTCAAAAAAATTATCTCTTTTTTTCAATTGTGAAGAAAAAATTTAGGAATTTATTGTTTTGTAAAATACCATTGTTGTTGGCGGCATAATTTTGGTAGTATAATCTAAATCTAAGTGTTTTTCATTATATTCTACAAAAATTCACTTGATTCATTTGCATCCAAAAAAACCAATGCTGGTAGCAGCGAATGCTGAACATGCCTTAAAATTTTTGTGTAATATTTAGTTTATATATTTTGATGGTAACATATATTTAACACCCCCTGAAATTTCTGTATAATTTTTAGTTTATATATTTTCTCTCTAATAAAAAAGAGCAGCATGATGTAAAATTTGATTTCTGTTCCGATATTAATATGGGCTGTCATATTTGTACTGTTCTTATCAATCTTTATCACAGAAAACCCTCTTTTTCAAAACTACCAGAGAAAATATGGCAATTTACTGTGGAAAATGTTTTTTCTTTTTTCTTTTTTAAATTGTTCTTGATTTAGCCTTTTCTTCCTTGCTGCTGCGGAAAGATAGATGGTCAAATAAAACTTTAGTGGCTTCGTAAACCCTTGTCAGTCGGCCTTGCACTTGCATGAATGCTACAATGCAATGCCTTCTCTGATGGTTGAAGCATTCAAATTCATGATGCTGATAATTGCGCCCATCTCTTTTCAAATTTCAGTTAAAAAAAACTCGAGCAAATCAAACCACCCATGTTCAAGAATGTCTTTGTTAGTTTTAGCCGATAGATTAGATTATGAAAATCACTTTGAGTAACCCTGTGATCTCTTGTCATTCCGAGGTTTCGACAACTGAGCCTCTGATCTCTTTAAGGAAATATTTGAGTAAAGGGCAATATGCCTTCCCAAAAGATCAAATAGAATACTCATATTACAAAAAGGGGTTTCATAGTACTTCAACATTTCAGCCATAATAGAATGTTAGAACAACTGTTGGGAGGTGTTGTATATATTTTCTCGTAATGCTAGCATAAACCGCAGAATGAAAGACACTCCAAAAACCACAACAAGAATTGATATCCGGATCCATACTCGTGCTCTATAATTCCTCCCTCTTATGACAGAAACTAACTTTTTTCTTTTTTTTCCCTTTTGATTTGTATAGATCTCAAGGCTTAATGGCCAGAGACAGACCAAGCTTAGCACTTCTTGCCTCAGTCCTCACATCCACATCTCCAGCTATGGTCAAGTAGACTGAAGGCACCAACTCCTGCCGGACAAGGGCACCAAGCTTGCCGTTGCTGCTCATACGAGCTTTCATCAGTGTGAGGGGGAATGGAGAGTACTGGGTACCAAGAGTGAAGATTGTCTCACTACTAAAGATGCTATGACTTAGCTCTGCCGCGATGGCCGAGTTTGTCAGTGGACTCAATGGTTGGTACCACGAGGCCTTCACTGTATCACCCATATTGTTCCTACATTATGTTCAAAGATGAGAATTATTTTTGGAAGAACAGTGAAATTTCTTGAATAGAGATTTCCTTCTTCTTTTTTGGCAAATTACCTCATAATTTCATCCCAGTCTGATTTTGATTCCCCTGGTTTCAAATGTAACACATTTGTTCATAAGATTACAGTAATGCATCAGATGAGGAGAATGGTTGATGTTGTTAGTTTTTCAAACAGAAAACCCCAGTTTCTGCACATGAAATCCCAGTTTTTGCACATGGATGAGAGTGCCCCTTAGACGAGGCTAAAATCTGGGAAGAAACGTGCATACATTGGAGTTTTTGTCCAAAATACTAATGATATTAACCATTACTATTAATTGAAAACACAATGGAATTCTGGGGATCAAAATCATACTTGGAGAAAATTATGGCAACTAAAAGTGTAATTTATCCTTTTCTGCTAGTTTCTGCTAGAATTTGATGAGCCTACAGGGTCAAGGAAGCCATGAAGATGGAGCTGTTGAAGCTCAAGCCAGCGTTGAGTTTGTCAAATTTCTTACTGGCAACATCAAAGGAGAGGTCAGTGCCGATGGATAATAAGCTGCTTCCTATTACACCTGAGAAATTTAGTAGGGTGTTGACTGGCAAACTTATGCCTGCGGTAATCCCGGCATATTCGTGCAAGTATTGAACCTCCATCTGTTAATTATCAGAATTAATCCTCAAAAGTTCATTATCAAGATCAACAAACAATTTTCTCAAACCATGGCAATGATACGAAAGGATAATACTGAATTGCAGGATTTTCTCGCCTCGTTTTGATAAGGTAGAATGAAGGCAAAAGCCGTGTTGAGTCCAGGCACAATGTCGTCAACTGCAACAGTAGCAAATAGCTGTTATTACTTACTACTTCAGGCCAAATCATGGCACTAATTTCATTGGTAATTAATCAAAAAGACATGGTTGACGACTCATCCAATCTTCAGTAGGAATGTATATGACTGTACTAGGCACATGAGACATAGGAGCTGATTTGTATTGTTAAACAAAGTGAACTTGTGATTTCACATGCAGAGATGAACTGAAGTGGAAGAATGCACCAAAGAATCATGTATACGCTTTTGTCAGAGATAAGAGATTACTTTGACAAGAGAAATCAAAACCCCAGTTGACAATTTTTTTATTTGGCGGCTGTGGAGCATAATCCTTGTAGAGAACATCTGTCAGAAAATTAAGCGTAGTAAGTTGCTTCTCAGTCCATGATAAAGAGAACTTCCATTGGGTTACTGTGAGAACTGAAAGAAACTCAACTTTTCTGGTTCTTTAATTTTCCTGGGTTTTCTTGGGAAACAAACGGGATTCTAAAAAGAAGAATAAGAGGATATAAGTAGATGATTTACCTCTGGCTTTTTTGCCGATGTAGTGGTAAATACCTGGACCGTTGCTCATTTCTATTCGAAATATTGCAGGTAAAGGAGGTCCACAATTTTCTAGCTATTTTCATTTTGGCTGGTAAGGAAGTTTAAGTATTGGATTTCAATTAGGAAGAAAAGAAAGATGAAGCTTCCTCAAAACTCACAAGCAGACATCAGTGGAAGCTTCCAAGATTTATACTTCTTCTTTCTTCTTATTTTTAACTTCATTTTAGAAAAAGCACATTTGTCCTTCGGAGACAGACAGAGAGAGCAACAACTCAAGGGTCTAAGTGGTCATTATAATGAAATAGCACTCGCTTCCATCTAACTGATTACTCCAGAAAAGAAGCACCATCAAAAGGGAGCCCCCCCCTGCCACCGTGCTTGTTGGCAATTTCCCAACTTTTTTCTTTTTAATTTTTTTTTCCTCATTTTTTAGGTCATCTTATATGTCATGCTTACCCGCCCCCATCTTTAGTACCTCCCAAATCAACAGTCTTCAAATTTATTCTCATATATGAAATTTAGGTAAATGTCCTTGTTGCCCTGTTAAATTTAAATTAAATATCATATTTATCACTCAATTTTAAAACGTAGTATTTACATCCTTTAAATTTAATATATACTTCAGTATAGTTCTTCTATCTAATTTTTTATTACTTTTCAATCACTTAATAAAAGTAACTCTGTCATTAAAAAAGAACATGTAAAAAAATTTATAATTTTTGAAAAATGCAGTAAATTGTGAAAATGAATTTAGTTTTTCTTTTTCAAAAAAAGGCCAAACTATTAAATTTTTTTTTGTAAGTAATAATTTTAGAATTTTATGTAGTTAATTTAAGATTTGATTCATAAAAAATAGAACTTGATTATATTTTTAAATTCATAAAATAAATTCTTTTTTTTTTTTGTTCAACCCAAACACTAGCAATAATGGTAAGCAACTGATAATCACTTAAGTAATTGATAACATAATTTTCTTAAGCATAAATTGTCTTTAATAAATTATGAAATTGTCTATGTTTTTTAAAAATTGTAAATTATGCCTAATTTTTTTAATAATAAATTTGTCTTTATTAAGTGATTCGAAAATGACTAAAAAGTGGCGCAAAAAATTATACTAAAACTTATATTAAACTTGAGAAATATAAATATTATATTTTCAACTTAAACAACTAATATAACAATTAATTTAAAATTAAAAGACCAGTTGTGAAGTCTACCTTATTAATTTATCTAATACCAAGTGGTGTTTAACTTAAGTTTCAGCATGATAATTACACCAATCTCTCAAATTTCAAATGCCATCTTTCTTAGAATCGTGATCAAAATCCAAATGAGTAAATCGCAGTAGGGTTTTTCTTTGTATGGCAAAAATTATTTTATCCTTTTGAACTTTTTTCTTTATCTTATTTACTCATTGAACTTTACAATATCTCATTTATCCCTTTGACCAATAACATCATTAACCTACCATTCTCCTTAGATATTAAATATTTCAAATATTACTATTAGAATAGTTAATTGTTATAATTTTAAAAAATTAATAAAATTAATAATAAATATTATTAAATATATTTAATTTTAGATATAAATTAAAAAATAGCTAAAATTTATAAAATTAATTTAAACTATGCAACCTAGCTAAATAAAAAGTTGATAATTATGAATAAATCATTTGAATCTAGTTAGGTTCCGATTATATCACTGAATAATTTCTACTAAATTCAAATTATTCATTCGTAATTGGCAATTTTTATTTAATTAGGTTGCATAAATTAACTAAATTAATTTGTAAAATTTAATCATATTTTATTTTAATATCTAAAATTAAATATATTTAACTATATTTATTATTGATTTAATATATTAATTTTAAATTTTAACTATTAACTATTTTAATAGTAATATTTAAAATATTTAGTATTTAAAATTATAAAATTTAGGAGATAAATCTAACGATGTTATAATGTCCAAGAAATAATAAATAGTATTGTAAAATTTAAATAAATAAATAAGATAAAGAAGAAAGATCGAGAAGGTGAAATAATTTTTACTCTCATTCTTAAAATGTCAGATTTTTTTGTTCATACAACTTTCAAATTGTATTAGAAGAATGACACTTTGGGGCCCCGTTGTATTCTCAAGGTAGACCGCGAAGAAATTATATAATGGATGAGACCTGCTAGTTCCCTGATTCATAGCTCGGCGTCCCTTTTTTTAGGCTTTTGGCTCTCTCTCTTACACCCTGAAAATTAAAAGGCAATAATCTTGGGGTGGAGATAAATCATCAAAATATAAAAGAGATCGAATAAAATTGGTATATATAATGGTATTAGGATTGTTAATAGATCGAAATTTAATATATAATTTAGTATAAATTTTAGAGTACAAATTAATTAAAATATTTAATGAATTGAATTTTTTTATAAATATTTATAATTGGAAGAAATCTGAATCTAAATTCAATAATATTATTTATTAAATTAATAATTATATATAATACTAATAAATTTATATTTTTAAAGACTAAATTAAAAAAATATAAAAATTAAAAACCGATATAATTGTCACAACAAATTTGAAAGTTTTAATTACAAAAAAATTATTTTTTATCGAATCATATTTTCTTACAAAATTTAGATATAAGCTAAATACAAATAATATAATATCTTATATTAGATTCACATACGTAAATAAATAATTGAATTTGTATGATTTAATCCATATCTGACTCGTTAACAATCATAAATAAAATACATTGTGATGTTCTTATATTTTATTTTATTTAAAATTAATTATAAGATAAAATAAAAAATAATAAGCTTCAATTCCCAGGGCAAAGAATCTCACTTCACAATTTTCTGCTCATGGTATTAACCTTTTCTTTTAATTTCCTGTTTATTTATTTAGTACACATTAACATTTACATGAGGGTTAAAGTTCCATTATGCAAATCTATTATACTAGTCATATTACAGTAACACTGTACCACCTCGATATAATCCTCCGTTCTTACTCTGAGAAGATTGTATGCCACACGTAAATCTTCAAGAAGTAGCAGATGCTCCTGCATCCGGCGCCGACTCGGCGTTCTTCTCGGCTTCACTAAGCAGCTTGAGAACCTCCTCTTTCTTGATTACCAGAGCTTGCATCTTGGCTTCTATCTTCTCCAGCTTCTGCTTCAGTTTCGCCGGATCCTTCTTATCTTCAGGGTCCTTCTTCTTCTTCTCTTTACCATCCTTATCTTTCTTCTTCTTATCTTTGTCTTTTGATTTCTCTTCTCCTCCATTCTCGTTCTCATTCTCGTGCTTCTCTTTCTCTTCGTGTTCTTTTTCCAGAGTGTCATGCTTCTCTGATTCTCCTCCCTCTCCCATGCCTCAACTCAATTTGTTTTTCTGCTTCAATGGAACTCCTGAGCTTTCCTGCACGCAGAAGAAATTGGCATAAGAGAAAATCTATGCTAGACTAGGGACAGAAGTATCCCATAACCTAATATAAAGGGAAACGAAGAAAGACACGAATAATGCAAGGAGATTGTGATGAAACAAGAACCCAAACCTGGAATGCCAATGGTGAGCACTGCGTATAGATGAAAACCAGGAAGCATTTAAATAGAGTTGTGGCTTGGTCTCTCATTTCTCCATGCCTCAAACTGTCAGCGAGAAATGTGATTACCCACACGTATATATGTTCAAAATTGGAGTCCCTCATTCAGAATTAATTATGGGTTTCGCGCTAAGCCACAGCTTAATTATCAGTTTTATGTAATTCACTAATTGAAAGGTTATGATCTGATGGTTGGTGAGAGTTGCCAATATCAACCATGGAAACCAGTGAAATTTAAAAAATTGAATCTATCAATCGTTCTACCACTCATCCCAAATAGAATAAGAAAAGAACAGGGAGAAAAGTGAAAAGAAAAAAATAATCATAAGTAGATTAAGAGTAATACATAACATTTTAAAAATAAAAGAGAGATTAAAAGGTATAATTAATAGATTATCTATGGAAGAAAAGCTACAATAGGATTATAACTTAAATTCCGTGCAACTTATTAAACCAATTTATATGAATTAAATTGAATTTAAATATTTAGCCATGTTTTTTATATTTTTTTAATTTTAAACCCAATAGCTTCTAATTAAAATTATGTTTTGGCCGTGAATTAAATTCAAAAAAATTACATATGAGCTAAAAAAATTATCAAAATTTTATGGGTTTTGCGTATAAGTTAAGTGGAGAAGTATATTTTTTAAATTTGCATCTATGCCTTTGGTTTTTGAAATATTTTGTCACCCTTGTGGATCATAATGCCCTCTCTCTTATTGTAACACTTTGTTATTTGGATATAAATAGGGGTATTTAACAAACCGAATCAAATCATTTAAATTGATGAAATCATGGTTTGGTTTAATTTGAAAATAATTTTTTTTATATAATTTAGTTTAATATTTGATATCTAGACAAACAGTATAAATCGAGTCAAAATGTATGATTTATATGTATACAAAATTAAAAATTATATCTCTATATATAATATATTTTTATTGTTTAATTATATATTTTTTCTTTTCATTATCTTTTATATTTATATTCATTCTAATAATTAATTATTTTTCTTATGTAGAATATGATTTTTATTAGTATGAGTGAAATTTTGTAAAATGGTACAAATATAGTTATTATATAATATATAACTATTATAATTAATTTATAAATAATAAAATTTTTAAATTTAACACATTGAAAAATAAATAAATGACCAATTTTAAAAAAATTTCTGTCAAAATTTTTATGAAAATAGTGAATTTAATCTATTTTATTTCACAAATCACAAACCGTGATTTGAAACAAAACTAAATCGTAGACCATGACTCAGTTTAATTTATAAAAATTATAAATCATAAAATATAATTTAGTTTGAATTTAAGTATCAAACTGAATCAAATGAAATCACACCACGAAAGAGGCCTAGATATAAAACCTTCCTGAATTTAAAGCATGTCATATATAGCTTCTTTAACCCTGGCTTACGCAAAATTATGACTAATTGCATGCAGTAGAATTGATGTACAAAAACGCTGCGTTTAATGATAGATAATGTCATTAATGTGAATCCAACATCTTATACACCTTTAAAAGAGAAATTTCGAATGCATTAATTTCTATCATTGAAGAAGGATTGTATTGAAAGGATGCGAAAGAGGAGATCCCAAATTACGCTAAGCTGACGGGGATGACCGTTGGTGGGGGGAGTGGTTCCCCGTTCTTGACTGATACTCTAGCGATCACCTCCAGCCATCTGTGCAAAGTCTGGGTATTTAAACCAACCAACCCAGTTGTGCTGATTTTCAAGGGCAATTGCCAACAGCATCACTTCAGGCGTTGCCTTCGGGTATTTGAATAAAATGGGAGTCTAGCCCTGTGCTGGTTCCTTCTGAATAAACACCCTTAATAAGATTTCGAGTTAATAATAAAGTGCCTCCAAACCCACCATCCCGGACTCCATCACCTTTCACCGGTGGTGAAGTGAGCAGGGGAAGGGAAGAAGTAGAGAATAGTAAGCAAGAAGAAACGACGGAAAGATTGCTAATTAAAAATGGAGGCTCCGACATTGTTCTTCTTTATGTTTGTTTTTTCTGCAATGATGGCTTCGGCCATCGAGGGTGATGCGGTGGACTCAGACGGGTACTGGCAGAACCGTAGCGCGGAGGCACTGATTGTGAACCGCCAGGCCTATCACCGCAAGCCACACCACGTCATCAACCATCTCAACGAACACGTCCACAAGTAAGCAATCTGTCTCCGTCTCTACCTTCTGTCTTCCAGTCGCATTAACGTTTTTACGTTTAGGTAATATGAAGTGTCATAAATATTTAGTGAAATGCCGCGCTTTAATACTCGGGCATGTTGGAAAAGGTTAGATAAAAAGGTAAATTAAATAAATCTCTTTTGATATTCGCTTATCTCTATGATATAGGTGATGAATCCCTTGCAATAAGATTCCAGTAGAAGAAATTTCCAATTTGAGTGTAACAGCTATAAGATAAGACTTGTTCGGGTAATATATATATTGCCTTCTAACAAATTACCATAATACATAATCCATGTCCTTCTCCCACTGACTGCCCCTCACCTCCGTCCTTTCCATCAGCACCACCGTCTACGATCTGCTCCCCTCCGGCACCACTACCCCTCCCCAAATATACTAGAAACCTTTTCGACCTTGAAGGTCGCTGTCGATAACCGGACAATGTCAGATAGATCTTCATAAAGGTTGCCGCCTATGCCCCTCGTCAAAGCCAACCAAAATATATCTAAATTCTCTCCTCCGCTGCTGTCACCCCTCCCCAGTACTGGCGGAGAGCTCGTTCGTCTCGAAGGTCACCGTCAATAGCCAGCCGATGTCAAACAAATCCAGGTCGAAGACAGACAGATCTTAACGAAGATTGTTGCCATTGTCGTTCGCCAAAGCTGATCGGAACAAATTTGGATTCTCCCTTTAGCTTCCACTACCCTACCCAAAGCTGGTCGAGATCTGGTTGACCTTGAAGGTCACTATCGATAGTCAGCTGATGTCAAACAGATCTTCATGAAGGTTGCCATTGCTGCCTCTCGACCTCATTGACGCTATCGATAGTGAACAGATCTTCACACAGATCGAAGACAAATAAATTGCAAACGAGTGTGGAGTTTCTACTTCTTCTTCGCCTAAGCAGAAAGTTGATTTTATGAATTGTATTTTCATAAAAGTAGGATTTATCTTACTATTTTCTACTCAATGAATTAAAATCTATAGAATGATCGATAAACATTAAAATTGCTGTGCGTGTAGAATAATATAGTCTTAAGCTGCTCCATCCACTTATATCCAATCCGTGCTAACAAACATGCCCTTATATTATCTGAATAATTTGAAATAATAAGAGGATGTTAATTATATAATTTTGTCCTAACAAAAAAGAGTACGTAATTTCATATGGATTAACTTTGAAGATAAAATATTAGTAAAAAATTATGACACGAATTAATCTGCATGTCTTTTGGGTTCTCCTTTTCTTGGTTTTTGTCATTCACCAGCTCGGTGAAGTTTAGCAAACATTCCAGTGACGACCACAGCTGCGAGGCCACGAACCCCATTGACCAGTGCTGGAGGTGCCGGGGAGACTGGGCCAAGAACCGCATGAGGCTCGCCGACTGCGTGCTCGGCTTCGGCCGCAACGCAACCGGCGGCAAGGGCGGTCCAATATACATAGTGACCGACCCGTCCGACGATGACGTGGTCAACCCCAAGCCTGGCACCCTCCGGTATGGCGTGATCAGAGACGAGCCACTCTGGATCATATTCGCACGCGACATGGTGATCAGGCTGCAGCAGGAGCTGCTTGTCAACAGCCACAAGACTATAGACGGCCGCGGGGCCCGCGTCTTCATCGTCGGAGGTGCTGGATTGACACTTCAGTATGTGACCAACGTCATCGTCCACGGCCTCTACATCAAGAACATCAAGTCCGGAAGTGGCGGCATGATCAGGGACTCCCCTGAACACTACGGCTTTCGCGGACAGAGCGACGGTGACGGCGTCTCCATCTTCGGGTCTTCCAACCTTTGGCTCGACCATCTCTCCATGACCAACTGCGCCGACGGCTTGATCGACGCTATCATGGGTTCCACCGGGATCACCATATCGAACTGCCACTTCACCCACCACAACGACGTGAGTATTGATATGCATGCGCGACAAGCCTAAGGTCAAATTGCCTTAAAAATATTCAAAGAGTCACTTCATGATTTTATAAAACTTTGAAATTGGCGGTATGGTGTGATGCAGGTGATGCTGCTGGGTGCACACAACACAGACATGCAGGATAAGATGATGCAAGTGACATTGGCGTTCAACCACTTTGGCAAGGGACTCGTGCAGAGGATGCCAAGAATAAGGCTAGGTTTGGTTCACGTGGTGAATAACGACTATACCCACTGGCTCATGTACGCAGTCGGTGGCAGCGCTAACCCGACCATCATCAGTCACGGTAACCGCTACTTAGCTCCCAAGAACTCATTCGCCAAGGAGGTAAGTTATTGGGTATAAGTGTTGAGTAAAACGAAGCCATTCACAAGGACTAACAGTCGCGTACTTTGCAGATCACAAAGAGGGAATACACCGAAGAAAGTGAGTGGAAGAGTTGGGTGTGGAAATCAGAAGGGGATTTCTTCGTGAATGGAGCTTTCTTCGTTGAATCAGGAATCCCAGATCAGAGCAAAATGATAGAGCTTTCTTCGTTGATCACTGCCAAGCCTGGGTCCATGGCGTCCACTCTCACTCGCTACGCCGGTGCTATCCACTGCGAAGTCCATAAGCCATGCTGATTGCCGAAGCTAGCTAGCTAACTTGCCTGTTGCTGTACATGCTTTCTCTTTTGTTTGTAGGATATGTTAGGGAGAAAATACATATTAACTGGAGTTAAAACACTTTTTTTTTAGATTTAATTCATCGCCACTAGTATTATATTTTGGATATAAATAGATGTAAAGTTCTTGTAAGCTATAATGAAGAATATTCGATTCATTTTGCACTACCGAACACAAACTAACAATAAAAATGAATTTTTATAGAATAACAATTTCTTAAAATTTTTTCCGTGCAACAAAAAAATGCAAGAATGAATTGGTTATATGAGTGTTGTTACAGTAGGATTTGGCTCTTATAGGCAAACTTCTAATAATTAGAAACTATCTTAAATAGTTAAAAATTGTCAAACTTTTCGGTAGTTAGTTATTTAAATTTTCATATATATTTGATGTGGCATTAAGTTTCTTTTATTTTAAGAATTTTTCTTCCCGTTTCATAAATATTTAGTGTGAAATTGAGTACTCTCTTTATTTTGAAAAGTTCTCTTCACATAATATTTCTTTAGTTTAGGAAAATAAGGGTACGCAGAAGGTGACTTGATGCCTTCAGTTTTGAAAGGCTGCTACCATTTCTTAGCGTGTGGATTAAATATTTGTTTAGTTATCAAATTCTTCTTCTGTATAGCTCTTTGCATTTCCTAGGATGCCAACACTAGTTCTTACAATTCAGAACTTTTCTTCCATTGGACTAATATGTAACTTTATAGCTTGAAGGTAAACGCCTTGGCCTATAATTTGGAAGGCAAGCAGTCCAAGCTCTCACCAGATTTCAATTTGGTCTTTGGGGAACAATGGAAGCAAGAGAGTTAGAGAGAGCTGGAGATGAGCCTATTTTAGAGTTTTATCAACGATGGCAAATTATTTTTTCTTAAAATTTAGTAGATGAGCTAATAATTTCAATAAATTTTAATGAGAGAAAAACTATGCATACACTTTACTTTTCTGGTAATATATTCAAAAACTTTATATTGTCAATGGAGCTTTTTTTGTAAAATATAGTAGGGATAAATTATATTTGTTATACATTTTAAGGGGACAAATTACTGTTTCTTAAATTTAATGGAGAAAAGTTAGGATAATTTATATTAATATTAATTTTTTACCCAAACTTAGGAAAATTTAATGGGGATAAACTATCCAATTTTGCAAGAGAAATCGCATCTGGATGACACAATTTCTATGTGGCTCATGTTGGGTCTACAATTACAGACCAGGCACAAGCAAGGGGGAGAAGAAAGAGGCCGCAGGTGGAGGGGGAGAAGGGCAGCGGCTGAGAGGAGGGAGAGAAGGAAGAGGCTACAGGCGGAAGAAGAGAAGGAAGAGGCTGGTGGCCGGCCACAGGCTGCGGCCGGGCCAGGCAATACCTGGCATACCCTCACATGCCACCGTCCAGGGATATGCTTAATAAACTCTTAAATCTCGTACTTACAAATTGATAAAAAAATATTATCCAAAATTTAGATCTGTGTGAGTGATCTCAAGGGCTAAAACTGAAGACAGACCCTTTCTTCATGGTCAAGGTCCCTTCCATACGGGGGTAAGAATGTTCCCGCCATGGTCGGAGTTGCCTGATTGATGCAGGCTTAGAATTTGTATGGAAAATCATTTGGTTAAGGATTTTAAACTTACAGTAAAAGAAAATCGAAAAGAAAAAAAGGTTTTGTAAATGGACATTTCTCGTGCTAGGAAGATTGTGTATCATTTCACAATATTATGCCATAAAATTTGACATTAATTTTGCATGGACTGGACAAAAATCCAGAAGACTAGTGTCCATCAATGTAGATAGAACGTACACACAAATATGAATCAAAGGCTGGTGGAGACACATTTCAAATAGTAAGGGCGTTTAATGCTATCCTCCCCCCGGCACTTATGGAAGAAAGGCAAGGGTAAGTTGCACTGCTCTTCAGTTTTATTCTCTCCACGATTGACGGATAAACGACTCTCCGGCCCCCAACACGACTCTTGAGCCTCTAACTAGCGTGTGCACTTAGTAAGTCGCATTTCTCTGTTTCGCCATCATTCTGGCAATGGAAAAAATGCCAGCATCGAATCCCTGCCATATATCAATGCCAGGTTTACTTAATTAGCTTTCAGATCCGGTATATATTTGACTTTGTGCCACAGTGCCTGGCTCTTTGAGCTTGTCTATCCGACTTTTAACTTCCAAATGTGCCAAAAAACCAGGAGATTAGCCTTTTGAACTTCCAATCCAAAAGGCCAGAAGTCTATGAACTGCCATGTGTTGGCTTCTAGACGTTTTAGGTTTACTAGCCAGACACCATCAAAATAGAGAAGCCGAACACGCCTCTAAACATGCGCATATGCGTCCCAATTAGGATGGCATACCTTAAACGTGCAAGGAGTTTTCCACTATTGTAATGATTTCCACAACGTATGAGAAGAAAAAGGTTATGTTGGAACACTTGAAATATACACGTTTAAGGTCCAGGTCACCAAACAACGAGGTGAACAAGCAGTAGATTTTTATACCATTGAAAATATCACCCTTGTTGAGATTGTACAATTACATGGACAGAACCACCATTTCTTCTTCCACATATTAGGACACTACAAATAATGCCTACTTTCGGACGAAGGTAACAAAAATGGTATTATTATTCCTCATCCAATTCAAGCCCACGAATTCTTTGTCGCCTCTTGTCAAAAACAGCTCTAAATGATTCTCGTTCTGCGCGAAGCCTCTCTTGGAATATACTCTGCCTGTTCGACTCACCAACACTCCAGGTTGGCCCCTGATCTTCAGGCAAGGGGTTAGATTTCTGCAAATGTTAAAACAAAATATTTATAACTAGTTGACAAGGTGAATGCCTCCTCCTTTAATAGGAAAACACGAAAGAGTTTTAGAATGCATAACTCAAAAACAAATTATCACACAAATAAACTGATAGAAAGAAACTGCAATGGACATAAAAAAAAAAACACCCCAAAAAATAATATAAAAGCATATGCATAAGAAAAAATATTTAAAATTCTGTGCTGATTTCCTACACAAGAATAAAAAGTTCATTACCAAGTTGTAACCAGCACCAGGTCCAATAACTAAAGATGCACTTAATCTTCTCGCAGCACTTATGAAAAGCCAGTATTGCCAACCTAAACATAAAAATTCAAGTGTTTCTTAGCCCAAGATTATCCCTTACAAGGAAGAAACTACCAAACATCAAAGTGAACAAAAGTAGAAAGCAATAATGATAATAATGATGATGATTATTATGATAAATGGAACTTGAGAAAAGTCGATCTAAGTTTGCTTATGGTTGAACGCACTAAGACCTTAACATGGCCCACTCTCCTAAATCAGGAGTTCACCTTTGAAGCACAGCACAAAGGGCACTTTTCTATTGTGATGCCAACTTTATGGATTATGCCATGTCTTCTAATTAGGATAAAAATGATGTGGAATCTAAAACTTCACCAAAATATTTCAAACTGAAATATAAATTGACATAGTGATATAAAACTTTTCCACATCACAAAAATCAGAATAATAGAGATGACACAACGGCCTATGACAGATCATTCATGTTGACTGTAATGTAAACCAAAAGTGTAGACCATGTAAGATCCAGAATTTAGATAGAAAATTCCAACTCTTAACCCTAAAATTGCATGTGGTTAAGATTTAATGACAGGTAGATTTTCCATAGCCACCCATAGCTCTGCTGATGGCCACACCTAATCCATGATTTGAAAGACTCATTTAGTTGTTCCTTTCTTATATTATTTTAGCCCAAAAAAGGCAATAATGAGTAAAATGCCAATCAAATATTTCATTTTGAGCTTCTTTCTTCCTGGTCACATTTGTGAGATGAAGTTAAAATTTTTGTTTAATCATTTATTATGTCATGAAAATATGCAGTATTGTTTACAGAGAGAGTGTGATCAAGTGGTCCAAGAACAAACATCTAATTTATTGGGATCATCACATTTTCACTAATATACAACCTTTTGGTTTGATTATCACAAGGAGATTAATTGCTTTTTACCAAAAATGACAAAAAAAAAACTTAGATGACATCTTATCCAAATGAGCCAAACAATCTGTTTCATGCTGGGAGACGCCCGCACGCTCACAAAAAGAAATATTTAGTAAAATGTTGAAACAAATTTGCAGATATCAATGTTTCTAAAGATAACAATACTAAGAAGAAACATGACATGCAACACATACCTGGTCACCCCAGTGTACAGATTTACCTTCCTTGGTATAAGCTTTAAGCAACCCCGAAAGTGCACTCAAATTCCCCTTAGCAGTTTCAGTAGTCTCAGCTTTATCATCATCCAAATCACTTGACCACTTACTCCTGCCCAATTCTTTCACTGCTCCACTTGAATGGTCACCTTCAGCATCCCATTTCTTTGCATTCTCCGAAAAACCTAAATATTTAATGCAAGCGAGATACCAAATCCAATGGCATAAGAAGTGTGTTAAAGACAACCTTTCCCATAGATGTAAATTTCAATTTGGTTGTTAGATTTATTCCCCACTAAAATACACATAAGTAGCTTGGAAGTCTTACCAAATGAAGCATAAGTACGTATATTTTGGTTTTATTATTTTCAAAAGGATGCATACACAAAAATTATACCCTTACTCATCTCAACTACACCTTTTCCCAACTACAGGAGGTTGGCTACATGAATCGTATGTCTGCATTCTGCCCTATCATAAGTCATATTCTTAGTTAGACTTGGCCTACCTCTACCTGTCTCATTGCCATCAGTAGGTATAGTGTCAGTGTCCCTTTACCTCGATAGGGCAATTACAGGTCTAAGCTTATACTCTTTTTTTATTCGCAATGGGTGCTACCTTATCTTATCCACAACAATAATCATTCTTCAAGTTTATTTTTGATGAACACAGCAGTATTTAGCTTACACCTGGGATGCCCAAAAGCACTTGCGTGCTACCTGTTGCCCAACATAACCAGACATGCTAGGTCACATCAGACATTTTCTATGATTTGGTCAATTTTTCTTTCTTTTCTTTTCTTTCATGCGGGTGGTGGGGTAGGCTTCAAACATTTATTTGGACATATTAAAATTACACTATGGGGGGTGGGCTTTTATGAGTATGATGGCAGTTGAGGTATTTACAATAGATTGTTACAAGGAAAAAACTCTGATCGACCCAAAATTTGCTAGATAACACTCTATAGTTTACAAGAAAATTGCACAAGAAGTTCAAAACAGCTACTATTTCTGTCAGACCAAACACCATTGTAGGCAGCAAAAAGATGAAAAAAATATAGCAGAAGAAAACTGCACAAGAAGTTCAAAACAGCTACTATTTCTGTCAGACCAAACACCACTGTAGGCAGCAAAAGGATGAAAAAATATAGCAAACCTGTGATCATGTCTAATTTTCTTGAAAGGTGCTAGAATATAGACTGAATAGTTTTACTATCACATTTTTAATTTATTTTTGGTCAATATTATATGCTAAAATTAATAAATAAAATTGCAATGTAACAAATAAAATATATATAAATATATATATTTCTTTGACATTTGCAACAAGCTTGCATCCTAATTTTTTAAAAGCATCTACAGATGTGTTTTTGTATCTATGCTTCTTCAACTACAAACAAATATAAGAGAAATCATGTGTAGTTCCAGAGTTAAACTGCCAAAGCCTAATGAAAGACTTAATTCTTAGATAAGGAACAAAAGCATTCTTTCATATGTCTGTAAAGCTGCCTTCTCAAGCAGCATTTGGACCATGGTCCTGCCAATTAAATTTAGGAACACGCAAAGGTCATATATAGCATTGGACATCAATA